ACAGATGGGAACGCGACTTATAAATTTATTATTAACTAAGAGCACTGACAATAAAACAAATCGCAGCGAAACATAGTATGCGAGCTGAATGTCTGCAGAGCTTGCATGATCTCTTCGCAGACCAATATCGACTGGCGTAAGACAACACTAAAAACGAACATCCTCAAATCGACAAGGAGTGGTCAGCATATAAAACAAACACATGGGAGCATGACATATGCTGAAGTCGATTTCCGTATTAAAGAAAGGCACTACATCCCTGAATATGGGTATTTACTAAAACACAGCGGGGCTCAGCTAGGCTGGGTCTGTACTCGATCTGTGACCGATTTTTCCCGGTGTTTACCTCGCTGCGACCGCAGATGACGTGGTGGTGGAGGAGAGCTTTGTGTGCGGGTTTCGGCTGCAGGGATTAGAGGTAGAGGGAAAAGGTTAGTAGGGTGGATTAAGTAGAAACATAGGGGAAAGGATGGAGGGAAGTGATGGACGGAAAGAAGGGGAAGCGTGCCGCTGGTTTTTGTCGCGGATACGCGAGGTATGAGAAGAGCTCGGGAGCGTGCTACACTGCGGAGGGCACAGGAGGGGGAGAGGAGGAGGGTTGGCAACGTATGAGCATATTTGTAGGGTGTGGGATTCGAGACACGGGGTAGAGCTTGGGGTGGGTGTGAGGGGGGTGGCGTGTGCGGATTTCGCGCGCGGGGATTCGAGATAAGGGAATGAAGTTCGGCTGGGTGGACGAAAGGGCCACGTTGCGTAGACCTCTCGGCAGTTACCTAAGCCACGTAAGGAGGAGGGAGGGGTGGTGGGTGGAAAGGAGGGATGCAAGAAAAAAGTAAAAGCAAATGAAAAACCGCCATCAGTAGGGGACTCTCCATCTATAAAGCTGATGCTTAGGTAAGGCTGAAAGCGAATAAGGTGAAGCTGATGCTTAGCTAAAACTGAGAGCGAATACGGTGAAGCGGATGCCCAGGTAAAGCTGAGAGCTCCCAGTTTTACTTACGCTTCAGATTCGTAAATAAGCTTGTTCGTCTCCTCTATCCTGTCTCCAAACCCCGTCTGCAGAGCGGTTTCTGAACATCTCTCAACCCCCCGCTCCAGCCATTATCACCATTAATCGTTCCTCACTCCCTCACTAGCCCCGTGTTTCTTTCCTCCATTTTACCTTAATTCGTGTTCCCTGAGCTGTATCCGGGTACCTGCCTACCAACCAGCACCCTCTCTCATCCATGTGCAGGCCTCCTCCCCGCATCCCCTCCTTCTCCCCCCTCCCGCCCTCGCTACCTTACCCCGCTCCCCTCTGTCCCGCCTGCCCTCTCTCTCTATTGCATGCGATTTAATATCCCAGCGCCGGGTATCGGTGCCCAGCACACCTGACAAAGTGACGAATGGCGTCGGCGAGACTCGCCGCGAAATAGTGTTGGCAGTGATGCAGGGTAACGGCCGAGCCGAGTTTTAGTAACTGCCTTGAATGGGTACTAAACAGGCAAAAACTACAACTCGGCTCGGCTGGTGGTCGTTGGTGCTTGAGAAGCCCTCTGTCATCTCTGGCAACGGTGTTTAGTGGCGTCGCTCACTGGGCTCGTTTGGCAGCCTGCCGAAGAAGCAGGGCAACGTTACCCAGGCCGCAGCGGCTGTATAGCCTGGGTGGTGGGGAGGCAGGATAGTAGAGGGGCAGCCGTGGCTGTGGG